GAGAATTTTTTTGGGAACTGAGTGAGAATTCTTGGGAATCATTGTAGGAAAGGTAAAAGTGTCCCATCCAGGTGGTACTTTCTTCTATATGTTTTACCTATGAACCTGATAATTCATCTCTGTATGTTCACTAATCTGGATAGTTTAAGGAATTTCCATAGTAAAAATTATTACTAGTTTTGCAGAATTTTACCTTCCTATCATTATGGGGTAGGATATTCTAATCCATGGTCTTTGTGTCAGAGAAGTGTGGGAAGATGTCAAGCCTTTCGGGGAAATAGTTTGTTTGGAGGACTTATTCATCTTTGCAAAGGCACACTTCAGAAGGGATTGCCTGTTACTATTTTTGATCAGCACAAAAGGACAGATTGCTGGATAACCATAGGAGAGAAAAACTGCGATGTTCTCCAACCCTTGTACATCACGCCTATAACTTACATAAATAGTAAGGCAGTTGTTGGTCCAGTAAAAGAAAACAAAGCAGCTCACCAGGGCCAGGATTGTGTGGGTGGCCTTGGCTTCAGGAGAGGCTCGTGGGCAGAGGCTGGTCCGGTGGATGTGCTGGACTGTCCTTCGATGTGTGAAGAAGAGCCTCACCACATACACACTGGTCCAGATTATGAAGAACATGCACAGGACTTCTTGTATGACTATGGAAACCAAAAAGGCATCTCTGTGGTGTCTATCAGAATTTTTCCCACTACAGTACTTCAGAGAATATTTTTGCACAACTTCAGTGGTGTTGTGGGAAGCCACGATAACTATGATGAGCCAGATGTAGATCAGCATGTTGATGATCCAAAAAAGAAGGAAAGCAGGAAAAATGCATGTAGGGATTTTGGGCTTGAGCCAAGCCCACCTAGAGTTGCTGGGCATGATAATAACAGCCTGAAACATACTCAGGAAGGACGTCGTACAGAGGGAGAGGCCCCGGCTGACTCTGTTCATGTGCCTTACAACCAGCGTCATTCAGAAAATTTCTTACTCCAAAGAAATGCATTATCTCTGGAATCCCAGTGAGAAAAATTTTCAAGATATTAGCTAAGGTTAAGTGGGTGAATATCCAGTCTATAGGCTTTGTGTGGGGCTGAAATAAGAGGTTGTTAATTTGTAACACGAGTAGGAATGGATTCCCAATAAAACCAATTATGACTAGAGATAGAAAAAATATTCCCAAAATAATAGCATTTGAAACTTTTGTTTTCAATGGCTTCTTCTTAGATATATTCCCTGCACAGTCTTAAAAGGAGCACAAAATGGTTGGTAGTCTTGAGGGAAATAACAGGGCTTTATGGAGAGTACATGTGAAGTGGTCACTCTTCAGTAGGACGTGCAAATGGCCTGTAACAATGGGCAGGAAATGAATTAGCTCTAGAGGCATATGTCAGGATTATTGTTACTTCAAGGGAATATTTGGGTTGAGAGGAGACATGCCTTGTTTATAAAAACATTACTGTCATCTATTTTATGAGAAAGAATTTCAATTTCTTGAAGAACAAATTTATTTATTAGAAACAATATTTTGGATTTATATAGATTCTATTTAAGTTGTACATATACATTCTGAATGTTATTAGAGTGCATTTCAATTCTGTCATGAGCAACAAAATGTTTATTAAGGGATTTCAATGCATATTATTATAACATTTGTACTCTACATGACATACATAACGATTATTGTCACTCACCAGAGGAAGACCCATCGCCAGAGTCGCACGTGCATCTTGATTCTGTAACCTCCTTATCCTGACCCTTTCTCTCACTCTTTCCAACTCCTATATGCTTCCAGTGGACACAATGCATACCAGATCAGTTCACAGGTCAGACACTGCATCCTCCATCTCTGCTCTGAAAATGCACTTAATCTTTTGCTCTACCCTGAAGTCACTGCTTCCCTACAACTCTTTTAGTGGATTCTTTCTCTCTCAAGCTTCTTATTCCTTCAAGCCCCTACTGGGAATGTCCTCTTTGATCCCCAGCACTTCCAGCTAGTCCTCCGTCACTCCAGCTTTGAAACTCTTGTCATCAGTCCACAACACCCACCACTGTCTTTGCAAAATAATCTGCTGACACCAAGACATTCCCTCTATAGCTCCTGACTCCCTGTGACTCTCCCCAGCCCAACCTCTGTAGGGTTTTTTATAACTTGTCTGCATGCTGACCATCTGTGCGATGCCCTCACCTCTCACACTTGTGGTCTCCTCTCTTCCCACACTCTTGTCCCCCCACCTCATCCACTCTTTCTCTTGCTCAAATACTAGTAGTTGTCATGATCAATATTGTACAGTTGGCACTTGAGCAACACAAGTTTGAACTGTGTGGGTTCGGTTACACATGGATTGTCTTCAAGAAGTATATCAGAAAAATTGGTTAAGATTTCTGACAATTTCAAAACCTTGCAGATGTACTGCATCACCATGAAATATATGAAAAAATGAGTAAATATGTATCATTAATGCATGAAATATAAATAGGTATCAGCATATTTTATCATTGACTACCATAATTATACACAAATCTATTATTAAGAGTTAAAATTTATTAAAATGTAAGCACAGAGCCACACCCCATACCTCATGCCATCCACAGTCAAAAGAAATGTAAATAAACATAGAGATGACATATTGTAATTACAATTACATTACAAACGTAAATAGAGAGTATTAAATAAAAACTGCTTACAATCAACTGTAGAGCCTATTGTAACACGGTAATAATTTCTTTGCCACCTCCTGTTTCTGTTGAGATGACCTCAACTGTTGGGAATATCCTCCAAAAGCACCAGGTGATGCTCATCGCATCCTTGTCGGCAGTTCATCTCTCCAGGAAATTATGTATCACAGTACAAAGGGATTCTTTTTCTCATGTGGTTCTTATGTATTGTTCATGATGTTTACTGCAATACTGTAAACTTTGAATAACACCACGGACCCTAAGAAGTGCCATAGTGATGCTGGAAGCACTCAACAGACAAAAGTCATAATATTGCAAGAAAAAATTGGATTGTTTAATATGCACTGCTGATAGAGGTCTGTGGCTCAGGTGGCCAGCAGTTCAAGGTAAATAACCCCAGTGTAAGACTATTGTAAAAAAAAAAAAAGAGGAGGAATTTCATGAGACTTTGCCACAGCTGTTCCAGCAAGTGCAAAAACTAGCACTTTTTGTGAACTGACTTTTAACCTCATATTGAAAATGCAGCTTTTGTGCGGGTACAGGATTGCCATATGAAAGTCATCCTTATAGACTGTAATATGATTTGAGGGAAAAAACCCCACAAAGTCATCATATGACAACTTACAGCAAAAATAAAGTGAAAGAGCTAAAGCTGGAGAATATTATGCCAGGAAATGATGGTTTGATAATTTTGTTTGGATTTAAAAATATCAACAGGAGAAGCAGGTTCTGCCAGTTACAGGCAGCAGATGAGTTCCCAGACACCACGAAGGAAATCACAGAGGAGAAAGGATATCTGAACAGGTTTCTAATGCAGATGAAAGTGCCTGTTCTGGGGGGAAAAGCCACAAAGGACAAGTATTAGCAAGGAAGAGAAGGAAGCACCAGGATTTAAGGCTGGAAGGGATAGGCTGACTCCACTCTCTTGTACACGTCTGTGATAAGGACTGCTGTTATGTATAAATCCACTAACCAGTGAACCAAGAGGGGAAAAGATGAACAACAGCCACCAGGATTTAGTTATACAAAAACAAGGCCTGGACAATGGGAATACTTCTGGATTGTTTCCACTGATGGGCTGTTCCTGAAGTCAGGAAGTACCTTCCCACTAAGGGACTGCCCTTTAAAGTTCTTTTGATGTTGAATAATGCCCCTGACCACCCAAAGTCCCAGTAGGTCAACACTGGTGTCAAAGTTTCCTACTTGCCCCCAAACACAATATCTCTAATTCAGCCTCTAGTTAGGGAAGTCACCGGAACCTCTAAGGATCACTTCGCATGGTACTCTGTGGAAAGGATTGTCAGTATATTGAAGAGAACCCCAATATAGAGAGCATCACACATCATCAAAGTCTGGAAGGATTACACCATTGAAGGCGCCATTGTTATAGAAAAAGATATGAAAGCCCTTAAGTCCAAACCAAAAATTCCTGCTGAGGAAAATTGTGTCCGGATGTTGAGCATGACACCATAGGATTTACAACGGAGCCAAAGAAGGGAATCACGAAGGAGGCTGTGGACGTGCGAAAAGGTGGGAGGGTGTGTGTGTGAAAGATTTCAAGTCAGGGATCTCGGAGATATTCAAAAGCTGGTAGACACCACACCTGAGGAATTAGCAGATGACAACCTGATGCATGAGTGCTTCCGAGCCAGTGCCGGACGAGGAGGAACGAGACACGGAAGAGGCAGAGCCGGAAGACAAATTGACGTTAGAAATCTGGAAAAAGGGTTCTGAATCTTCAAGACTGCCCTTGACTTCCTTTATGACACGGGCTCTTCCATGATACGGGCAGGGGAAGGATTGGCACCATATAGAAACACTTTCAGAGAAATGAAGAGGCAAAAGAGTTGGACAGAAATCATGGTATGTTTCCCTAAAGCCACACCGTGTGTGCCTGCCTGCCCTGCCTCCCCTTCCACCTCCTCCGCCTCTTGCGCCTCTGCCACCCCTGAGGCAGCGGGACCAACCCCTCCTCCTCCGCAGCCTGCTCAGCGGGAAGACAAGGAGGGTGCGGACCTTCTTGATGATCCACTTCCACTTACTAGTAAATACTCCTCATGCCCTATGGTTGATAAACGTCTGCTATGTGTATGTGAGTGTCTCAGTGTGAAAGTGTAATCACTGGGCAGCAGGAACTGAGTGACACCTTTTTGCATCATCATCATCATCATGTGAGACTTGCATGGCGTGCAGAGCCCGTCCTTACATAGACAGGAGGCGAGTGGTATTTAATATAAAGTTAATAAGGGTTTAATTTTCCTACTGTTCTAACACTTTGTCTTCAAAGAATTACGTTACTGTACAGTTTGCATTTCTGTCTCTCTCAGGAGTGAGGAAACTGCATCAACCTATCATCACAGGTAAGTGATTCCTTAAATATGTAACACTGTTTCTAATACCATATTACGAGTGTGACTATAATACTGTATGCCATAAACACTTTATAATGACCCCTCATTACTGTGCATATGAGGCTACCATGAAGCGAATGTACTGATCACTGACAGCTGCCAGAATGGAAGCATGTCGCTGCTTCTGTGTGATCAGTGGGTGAATCATGATACCTGTAAAGAAACACGAACTTCTCTGTCACATTATCTTTTCATTTTTTATGTCTAGTGTTAGTAATATGTAGAAATCTACTTTGTTTTGTATCATATAAGATACCATTGATGTAGGTACTGACAGATGATTGATTCACCTTCTAACAAATGATGTAAACTTATGGCATTAGTAAATACTGTACAGTACTGTAAATGTATTTTCTCTTCCTTACGCTTTTCTTAATAACATTTTTCTCCAGCTTGCTTTATTGTAAGAATACGGTGTGTTATACATATAACATACAAAATATGTGTGACTCAAGTGCATATTATTGGTAAGGCTTCCAGTGAACAGGAGGCTATGAGTAAAGTTTCAGGGAAGTCTAGAGTTATGTGGCTTTTTGACTACATGAAGAATTGCGGCACCTAACCCCAGTGTTCTTCAAGGGTCAAGGGTCAACATTATATTTCACTTTAAGCATCTCATTCTCCTATTAGCAGCTATTTCCAGTTTAATTTTGTCTAATCTCTGAGTCTAAAATTATTTTCACATCATCCAGGACTTCAAAACATTAATCTCTGCTCAATAGCCTCTCCTCCTTACAAACTTCCACAATCCAGCATTACAATCACTTCCTGCAAAAATGTCTGATTTCATTGCTATTTTTACTACTTCATATTCCTTACCATGCAGAAATCATACCCCAGTTTAAATCTTATATTATGCCAAAATCATGTCATCCTGCTCAGGTAAACAGGGATGGAGAAAAACACAGAACAGTATTAACTGAACTTAAATCAAACTCTTCACCAGAGTTCAGTAAGCTTTTATCTCTGGCCAGGGATCACACTAACTTTACTCAGGAATTTGTAGGGTATTCACTTTATCCCTCCTTTTGACTGCTATAAAACTTAATCTTTATTCTCAACCTACCGACATATCCTCTCCTGACCTCATAATTAATTGATGTCACACTGCATATTTTTATTGAGATACAATTGATGTGTAGCATTATGTTAGTTTCAGGTATACAGCATACTGATATTTGTATATCTTGCAGAATGATTACCCAATAAGCCTAGTTAACATCAGGCTCCATGAGAACTTACAAATATTTTTTTGTTGTAATGAAAACTTATAAGATCTACTCTCTTAGCAACTTTCAGCTATTAACTACAGTCACCAAACTATATTACATTCCAGGACTTATTTCTTTTCTAAGTGGGAGTTTGTAGCTTTGACCCCCCTTCACCCATATTGCTCATCCCGAATCGCAGCTCTGGCAGACACCAAGCTGTTCTCTGTATCTATGCTGGGTGGGTTTTTTAATTTTTATTTTTTGAGCCCACATGTAAGTGAGACCATATAGTAATTGTATTTCTCTGTCTGCTTTATATCATTTAACATAATGGCCATCTATGTTGTTATAAATGACAATATTTCTTTCTTTAGGATGGAAAAACATTCCATTTTGTGTGTGTGTAATATATAACATATATCATTGTATATCTATCTGTATATGACATTTTTTATTCATCCATCAATGAACAGCATATTTCATCTAGAAAAGTAAAGCAAATTTCTACATCCCACCACTACATCAAACCTACTCCTGTGTTATTGCTCACAACGTCCTCCCTCACCCCAGTGCTATGGATGAATTACCCATGTTCCTTTACATAACCAATCCATCTCTTTGTGTAATAAGTCTGGAAATCTTTTTTCTGCTCAAGACCTGATCTTCTGTTACTCTTCCCTCTCTCGTGCAGTATCAAAATTTCCTACATCAACATGCAAACATCCTGTATTTCTTGCACATTTCTCTTGAGTCCTTTGTCCCCTTCCCTCTTCAGCAGTACTTCTCTAAATAGTTGTCTCTACCTCCTGCCTTCAATTTTTCACATCTCATTTTCTGTTGATTCCAGGACATGGTTGACTACAAAATGTATGTAAAGTCTTCACTTCCCTGGATACATTGTAACGGGACATTGTGCTGCCACTGAAGAGAGGTTTTTTTCTCCAATGCTTGAATGTAGGTTGGCCTTTGACTGGCATTGGCCAGTTATTGTAGAGCAAACATGACACAAGCAGAGTCTTGTTAAGTGCCTGCATGTGGGGCCTGCTCTCCTGGCTTGCTGACGTGACCATGTGAAACATCCCATCCTATCAGAGGAGGAGCAGCATCAGCAGAAATACTTCATCCATCTTTCAGAACTGTACATCAGCCGTTCCATTCAGACAAACATCAGGACCCCATGGACAGAAGCCATCCTGTCGCCAGCTACTGACATGACCACAGTTGCATGAGAAGCAGCCGCAGGGAAGGGAAAGAAGCCAGACCCAGAAAGGCACCTATTGTATGGCTCCATTATGTGAAATATCACACAATACGTAAGTCCATAGACAGAAAGCCGACGTGGTTTCCAGGGACTAGAGAGGGTGGCAGAGGAGTGTGGGGGAATCCAGGGTTTTCTTTTGGAGTGAAAAAATGACTTGAAGCTTCATAGAAGCAGTTGCACAACACTGCAAAAATTTTAAGTGTCACTGAATGGTGCAGTTTGAGATGGTTAATTATGTTATGCCAATTTCATCTCAATAAAATATATATGAATGTACATATAAATAACTGTAAACTTCATGCACAAGCTATAATATATAACTATAAAAAGCAGTGATATATCACGAACAATTTGGATTTTCCAAGAAATGCTATGATGTAAATCCGTTGAGGCAATTGTCCATATTAACATCTGCAATTAGGAAAGCACATGACCATCTCAGTAAATGAGAAAGGTACATTCATATATACTTAACATCATTTGTGATAAAAATAAAACACCCTGGTATAGTATAAATGTAAAGGAGATTATTACATTTATACAAAGGTGCCAGCTATAATAAACATAGAATAAACATGAATTATGGAATCCAAAATAATTCTCTTTTAAGGCAGAAAGGTAAGTGGTACAACTAATTTATAAATTTATTGCATTTTAGCTGATATCACATGTAGTAAAGAAAAAAAGAAGAGAAGTATTCAAAATGGGGTTGTCATTTTTCACTGATCATGGTCTATACTGAAAATAAATTTAAAATTTCCGAGAAATGTATCATAATAGGTAACAGCCTCATTTATTTAAAAGTGATTTCTTTATTTAGAAAACATAATTTTAGAAAATATACGATTTACAGTATCAATAATACTGTGAGGTACCTTAAACTTCTGCAAGAATATCTTGGATAAAATTATATAAATGACTTAAAAGATATTAAGAAAGAAATAAGTAGTCCTACACCGAACATTTATAAACCAGAATTTCCAATAGCACAAACGGCTAGTTCTCACCCTTATTTAAAATTTCGTGCCATTTCCAACAAAATCTAAACCCTTTGTTTCACTGAATCTAACAAGTTGTTTCTAAAATTTTGAAACGAAAGAAGCATGAAGAGCCAAGAAATATGAAAAGAAGATCAAGGCTGCATATGGAGAGAATGTTAGATATAAACAGGGAAATAGGTGGAAGAGGCGAAAGAGAACAGGTGAGAAAAATAATTAAAATCCAGAGACAATGTTTAGGTAAAGAGGAAAGGAAAAGAAAGAGAAGGACAATAAATATGAAGGCAGAGTGACACTATGAATAGAACAGGAGGATGAAGGCAGGGCCATCCCAACAGGGAAGTCAGCTAAAGAGAAAGAGGGGCTGAGAGAAAAATCACCAGTGGGGCAGCAAGACGATAGACAAACGGGTACGAAGAAAAGAGGCACAAATGCAAAGAAAGGATTATGGAAAAAGTGAAGCCTGACAAGAAATAGAAAAAAATCAGCATGTACGTCTGTCAGAATAAATTAGAAGCATGAAATGGAGATTAGGAAAGCAAAATAAATGACTACACTAGTGGGGTGAGGATTTAATCATGTATATAGCTGTTGATTCACTATGCTGTACATTTGAAACCAATATGATATTGTATCTCACCTATACTTAAATAAAAATAAACTAAAAGTGAGTAATTTTCCAAAAGTACTTGTTTTTGGAAGAAATTTCAGTGAGAACATTTAGGTATGATTGGAGTTAAATGGGACCCTTGGAGTTCAATGAAGGTTATTTTAAGCTAAAGATACTTGAGATTCAACAGATGTGGAAAAAGGTCTTCTAGGAGCTTCCTTATCTTACTGAGTGCAGAAACGTCCTAAGGAAACTGTCATAAATGGCTTTCCCTGGGGGAGTTTTACAGCCATGAAAAGATGGAAAATACTGCTGCACATGCATAAACAATGCTGATCACAAAATGTCTCACCTCCTGTTTGTTCCCCTGTAAACACATTGCTCTTCCCACAGAAGGACCTTCTCCCTTTCCTTACTGAAGTAGGATAATATAAGCTCCTATATTTACTCATTTAGAGTTACTTTTTGTGAGCTCCCTTATGCATGTGGATACATTTTGGATTTTTTTCTCCTAATCTGTTGTTTTCTGTTGAATTTTCAGGTCCCCGTATTGAACCTAAGAAGGTAGAGGAATAAACCTACACCAGTAGGATGAAACACAAATCTTAAAACTCAAAAGGAAAAAAATGTATAATTTAAATATCAGAAAGCACAAGAATGACTGGGATAGGATGAGAAAGCAATGAAAAATGGAGATTAAAAATAATGAATTCTTAAACAAAAAATGTTGAAAGTAAAGAGCGTAAGTTATTAACATATAGGAAAACAAATGGAGAAATGAATTAAAAATAAAGATTTGAAGACAACAAACAGTCATGAAATACAAAATAGAGGAGGGAGAAATTGGAATGCATGATAGATACACAAAAAAAGAAAGATACTAGGAACAGAAACAAAAGACAATGCAAAGTGAGACTGAAACAATACAGAAAAAATTAGAATATAGTTGAGTATTACTAAATAGAAAAATTTCAAACTATTTTAGACTGAAAAAATAATACATGAATTACAAAAAGTAGTTAATTTGCAAAAAGGGTCCAAAGGAATTAAAAACCTGAAGGTAAAAACATGAAAAGATGAATGATTGATGTACAAATTGTATAAGAAATACAAAGGAGTAAATATTAAGATGATAGAGGGGACAAAGTACACACATCAGAGACGGAGAGGGGAAGAAGGAAACAGGAACTGAAAATCTCCCTGAGACATAGCGCATCACATGAGAGGCCGAGCCTGGGAGCAGGGGGGCCGGGGGAGGGGACACTGACGGAGGGGGTGACCTCCCAGCACTAAGGAGGGCAGGGTGCACAGCAGGAAACCAACAATGATTGATAGGCAATATGAGAAATAGGACAAAAGTGAGAATTTCACAGGTGTGGGTTGGAGGAGGCGCTGAGCAGAAGGCGCTGGACAGGACAAGGGAAGGCTGACACAGTATATAGAACAAATGGGAAAACAATCCCCTGCTGGCACAGCTAGAGTTCCTAGGCTGGCATGAGTCACCAGCCGGGCCCCAGGGTCCTCAAGCTTTCCTGCTGTACCCAGAACCTTCTGGAATGACCAGGACCTCAGTTCTCCCCATCCCTCCACCCTCTGGGACTCTGTGTGCACAGCCCCCTGGGGGGCAGCAGGCTCTCTCTCCCCCACCTCACAATGTGGCCTGGAGCTGGGGGGTTTGCTCCTGGCCCCTCTTGTCCATCCAGTTCCAGATCAGTTTCCCCATCCCTAAGGTGCTGTCCTGAAGCCATTCCAGGTACCAGTGTGTGTAATGCATTGAAAGAAGTGACCCCTCACAGGTTATTAGGTTGATATAAATCCTTCAGTGTTCTTTAGTTGTAAAGAATGTTAATTCCGGTATGGTGTGATTATTGACCTGTTACACAAAACATTTTCATTTTCATGTTCTGCATAATCAAAACTATTGGAAGATGAAATAAATATTTTACATTATTCCTTTTACTTGATAAACATACTTCCATTCCATATATCCATGAAAAGAATGACAAAATGTACATGTATTTCACTGAAAGTAATTTCTGATTGTGCTATTTTATATATGTATATATATATAAAATTTTTGGCAATATGTGTTATTTTTATTTGTCTATGACACCGAGTTAAATAAGTACTTTTGTAAAGACTCCTCAGTAATATTGTTTGTAGGACACAAAAATATAAATTCACACAAACTAATTAAATTAGAGTCATAGAAGCAAAATTTTCCTGGAAATGTCCTTAAAGAAAAGCAGGGGGTGGAGCCAAGATGGCGGCAGGCATAGAGCAGCAGAAATCTCCTCCTAAAACCACATATATTTATGAAAATATAACAAAGACAACTCTTCCTCGAATAGAGACCAGAGGAAACAGGACAACATCCAGACCACATCCACACCTGCAAGAACCCAGTGCCTAGCGAAGCGGGTAAGATACAAGCCCCGGCCCAGCGGGACCCGAGCACCCCTCCCCCCAGCTTCTGGCGGGAGGAGAACAGTCAGAGCGGGAGGGAGAGGGAGCCCAGGAGAGCTGAAGACCCAGCCCCAGTCATCCGGACCAGAGCACAGACACAGTGCATGCATGAGGTGCTGGATAATAGGGAACTAGGGCAGCAAGACTGCTGAGCGGGTCCCTGAGGCTGGCAACTTAGGACAAAGAAAAGCGAGCGGCATTTTTTTCTTTTTTTTCTTTCTTTTTTTTTTTTTTGGTATTTTTTT